ATTATAAAAATGAGACTATTTTTATCATTTGATCCGAAATCAAGAATTAAATTTCCAATAGAAGAAATAAACTGAATAATTATATTATTTTCTCTCATGGAAAAGTGCCGGGCGTCTTACCTCCACAAACCTGCCTGCTGCTTCTTCTTCTATTGAAAATTACTGAAATGGGATCTTTTTTACCATTTCTTTATCACTTAAAAGAGATATGCCAACTTCACTCTGCAACTGTAAGTTTAATTTTTCAGGCGTGCTGTGTTTCATTTCTCAACAATTATTGTGTCTTCCTCTTTTGGCTTAATTTTTTTGTTCTGTCCACTTATTCTTAACTTTCTTGTCACAGAAAACTGTTCCCAACGTTCCAGTACATGACACTTGCTTGAACCCAACAGGTGTTGTCACTGGATGTTCAGTTTTGAAAGACAATATTGAAATACCAATTAAATGTTGTGGTAGAGTGTTTATGAAGAGGCAAAATTATAGTAAACATATTAAATCTTTGGATCACCAGGGTCTTGTTGCTTGTATGAACTGCCATGTGATTCTTAAGAAAGAGGACTTAATCAAACACAAGACTGAAGTACACCAGATGAATGGAGAGAAATGGGCATGCAAGGTACAGCTAAATATATTCTTATCATTGCAGCGTTTTAGGGGGCCCTCCAATGAAACCTGGTACGCATCACTATCATTTCAGATTTTGCCTTTATTGATGCAGCCTGAGTTTGCTAAATGCAAATTGGAAACTTAGTGCATTAAATACATTTTCACAAATTTTGCAGGCTTTGGGGTACGTCTATGAGGGACTCATCAGTACCCATCATTTATGAGAAGACCCGTGTATGATCACTCATACATGTTAATAATTTGTGAAATTTTATTTAATTGCATTTCTATACTTTGAAAGTATGTTTAACAAAACTCTGTCTGCATCAAAAACAGCAAAATCTAAAATGATAGGTGATGAGTTCCAGGTTTAATTCATTGGAGGGCTGCGTTTAGACTGGCATCAATATTGTCATCTGTTCGATACATTTGAGTTGAAAATCAGGAAAGGCTTCAAAATCCCGCCAGAACAGATTCAATAAATGACAACTGATGCCAGCCTTAATTCTGCATGTCCTACCATCTTCATAATTATTTGGAATTTTAAGTATTTCATTTTTCCCGATAGGATTGTAATAACAAAAGGTACAAGTCCCAATGGTCCCTTATGAAACACATCAAAACCTTCCATAAAAAAACTGTATACCAATGTAGGATCTGCAATTCAATCTTCTATGGTAGCAAAAGTTATGAAACGCATATTGAAACTCATAGAAGTAATACAGAAGTTTCAACAGAGTCTGCTATTGCATTGCCAAAAGATTTATTTAAATGCTGTGGCATGGTTTTAACCAAGGCTAGCCACAAAGAACTTTAAATTCTTTGACTCATAGGGGTCTAGTTACTTGCAGACTTTGCTCCAAAATTTTTAAGAAAGAAGACCTTCCGAACCATAGGGTGGAGGTGCACCAAGACTTTGAAGGCAAGTCCAAATGTGAGGTGAGGCAGAGTAATGTAATGACTTGGTTTTTCTAAAGGAGAGAATCATATGATCTGAATAATTTTATTCCAATCTAGTTTGTAATAAGTTCTTCTTTCCCAAATCAAGGTGCCCAAATGGAGGTCAAGTGAACAAATTGAATGCCATGAGGAAAATACATTTAATTGTAGAATCTGTGCTGGAACCTTCTTCAGTGGTGAAAGTTACAAAAGTCACTGGGAAACACACAGGATTGATATAGAAGTATCAACAGAATTTACTGAACTGCCAGAAGGATTGTTTAAATGCTGTGGAAAAGTACTGTCTAAGTCTGGTTATTCTAAACACTTAAAGGGGTTGGCCCACAAGGGTTTAGTAGCTTGCACTGTTTGCCGCAAAGTTCTGAGGAAAGAAGATCTTCTCAAGCACAAAGCTGAAATACACAAGCAGATAAGAGGAAAATTGTATTGTAAGGTAGGTCACAAAAATGTTCATAACTTACCCGTACATATTGGTACCTATTTGTGTGTGATACATTGTTCTTTGGTTTGTCCAGGCTTGTGATGCATTTTTTAATTTGAACCGAGATTTAACTTCTCATTTAAAGTCTTTTCATGCCCAGCAGCAAAACTTATATGAATGTAGCATTTGTTCAGCATCATTTATAAGAAAAGATTTGTATAAAAGACACACCCAATCACATGAACCGCATTCCAAAAATTTGTGTTGCACATCATGTGATTATAGGACCTACAGAAAAGATCATCTTAGACAGCATTTCATTGTCAAACATTTAAATGGCACTGCTTGTTACCACTGTTCCAAGATTTTTAAAAATACTGATGATCTCCAGGAACACTTTTCAACTCATACATGTTTGTGTCAAGTTTGTGGAAAATCTTTTGTTTCAAAAAGTAAAAGGGAGCAGCATTACAAAAGAGTGCATCTTAGAGATGAAGGGAAAAATAAGGAGTGAAACTGATTGAGTACTATACAAAAATTAATTCTGACTAGATTTGACCACTGACGCAAGAAAAGCCAGAAGCAAACATCAGTTTGCTTTTTGAGATCAGTTGATTTTAATGACTCATCATAACTCATTAGCAAATAAAGACGTGAAATATTTTACTGCTTTCAGGTCAATGTTGAATTTTCCTGAAAATTATATGTGGTCTTCCTCATAGGTACTTTAATACTTTTTACCAAAATTCCCAGGAGTTGAAGTTAGGGGATAGTTGAGTAAAGTAATTAAATGCCCTGGGCAAGCCTTTCAAACTTTGACTTGGTTTAACACAATAAGACAATGAATCATCATAGAGTCTAGCAGTGTGTCAAATTAGCCTTTTATGTCCAAACAGGTAATTAAGCTTTTGAATTTCATATTACATTGCTTTTATTTGTAAAAAAGCATTCTGCCTTAATAGAAAATCCTTAAGACATCATGTAAAATAATTTCATTAAGAAAGCCTACTTAAGTCACCGATGCATATTTGTGTCAAATATCTGGTAAGGAAAGTAGTTTTTCCCAGCAAGTGCTAGCAGGTGCTTAGTGGTAAAAGCAAAGAAATAAACAGTGTAGCTTGTTTGTAAAAATGTGCTTGAGTTTAAGGCTGTGTTGAAACGCAATCCATTTGGGCGAGCATCTCAACGGTTCTTCTTTTTGTTCACTAGATTTTATTCCTACTCTTTAGTTTGTAAGGGTGTTGCAGATGTCAAAACTTTGAATATTTTTTCCATCATTATTTGATACCAGTTTTAAACAGTGGTATGATTGTGTCACTTGTAATTATATCAAAACCAGTGACCATAATACAAATTTTCTTCTCTAATTTCTTTTTCTAATAATTTAATTGGCTGAGCCGCCAAGCAATAAGCGTAAAAAGTTTATAGGGTTGATGTGAGTCAGAGATATGTTGTTCTGATGAGAGTACAACAAAAATTGCTGCGAAACTAATTATCGAGCAATTATTACCGTTGGAAAGATAACTGAGGTCAAAGTTACAATGAGCGCTTGCTTCTAAAACGCCTCATTTTGCAGTCTGTGCGTTGGCAAGTGCGTTGGCAAGCCTGCGCACAGAACGACATGGCAGAACTGAGGTATATTTCGTACGCGCGAGGAGCGGCGTCGTGTAAATGGGCGAAATGGGTACAAAAAAAA